TTTTTTTTTTTTTTTTTTTTTTTTTTTTTTTTTTTTTTTTTTTTTGAGTTTACCAAACAGCAGGTGTCATGAAACTAGCGAAAAATCCACCAAAAGCAAAATAATCCAATATAAAATTGGTTCAGAGCTTGACTGTTCCGAATTTTGAATTTCCAAACAGAGATGTAGCTTAGTTTGTGGTCCAACCAACCACCATGAGTTCACACATATTAATGCATGGCACCAACTTGCAGTGACGTAATTCTGATCAGCTTATATTGGTAGATACAAGGATTCAATCACAAGCAAGCCATATGATCGTGGCAGCAGAAATATTTACCAAGCACAATTGGCAAACTTAAAAACTCCAATATCCAGTGCATGCATCTACATGAAAGGTAACATATACATAAGCAAATTTGCTCATAAAGCCCCCTGTCTAGTGCAAGCATGTATATCTATGTAAAGCACACTTGAACAAGGAATCGTGAATCCCTTAAATGGGCATACGCACTGCAGCAGCAACAGGTTGACATAAGATAACACATATGTAATTGAGTAGTTCTATTTGTTGTTTCAATTTTTGTAAGTATTCAAATAAACCATCAGTAGCAGATAACTTCAAGTGCGCACAACAAAGATGGGCCAGCAAACATTCAAAAAAGAAACTGGACCATTTGAAGCTATTTATAGAAGGATTCACTTCCAGGATAAGTTTCATGTATGATGTCGAGAAACATATGTTTATTAGCATCTTTTGAAGCCTGATGGACAGGCACATACATGAAAATAAAAAAAATAATTGTATAAACAAAAATAAAGGCAAAGGCAAATCAACTATTCAAAATGTTCCTCATACAAGGATAGAGACAAGCTCGTGCACACATATTATATATGGGCTAGGTTTCTTCAATTATTGCAGACTTCCTAGTTCCCACATAACCAAAGTTCAAGCTGATTACTATATAGTCATAGACTACATGGTACCGTTCATTATGGTTTGAAGTACTCTCGTAAGTACTAAAAAAACAAGGTTTTCAGAAAAATAAATTCCTTATTTGGAATCTTAATCAGATGTTATCACCATAATATTGGCACGTTATGGTTAGCACCACATAAAACAAAGAAATTCATAGTTCAACTTTTGACAAGTGGAATTACTTAAAGAAGAATATCCTTCAAAACAGCACATATATAAAGGGACAGCATTTCTTTTCACTTTTCCTCCTTTTTTTTTTTTTTCCCCTTGACGTGGCGGGGGCAGACATTTTCATTGAAGTGTAGCCAACTCTAAAAGCCAGAAGAAGGCCCATACGATTAGGTCCCCACCATGTAAGGTTGCTTTAGGGATAATTATTGACCTTAACTTTTGCATTGTTGCACAAAATGGCCGTCCTCAAAGTTAATCCCACAGCCACGTTAAGCTTCAACTCTTTAATGGCACATCTACAGATTTGCATTTTTTGGATAAATTAAAGCTTCGAGAATTGTCAACTCGTCCCCACGCTTCAAAAATACTCGAGACAAGTTGTTTCAAGACACATATCATAGTTCCAGCAAAGTATTTTTGACCACGGAGCACTGCTGGATGTTATAGGGGATATGCAGTGACAGAGACATAATATAAAGCAGAAGAATGCAATACCAATGACTCAATGCCACCAGCAGCTGCAATTGCTTCTCGATTGCTGTCATCAAAGGATAAATTCCATAATGCGCCAGCAGCCTCTTGCCTGTATACCGGCCAAAAATAGTGTCGTGTTTAACATTCTCATGTGTAATAAGTATCCTCCAAATTAAGAAAAGCAGAAACGAAGTTATCCATGCAAATCCCTTATAAAATAAAACTGGTGACTGAAATTTCAAATTTTAAAAATGCATTACTTGACACCATCATGAGAAGAGCGTGTAAGTTGCACAAGTGCCTCAAGAGCTCCCGTCTCTTCTCCAACAGCAGCATTGTTACTGTTGCTATCTCCGTGAGCCGCCAAATTTGCCAAAGCACGAGCCGACTAGACAATAACAAGGAACATTGGTGAGAAATTGGAACCATAATTCTTCAATCATATCTTTTGTGCATAAAAATGCAAACTGAAAACCTATCTAGACGTGGAGTAAAATCTAAGAGTTAATATAACCTGTCACAGTACTCCTTCAGACTAAAAGAAGAGAAAGGCTAGGACATATAGTATAATGATACACCACAACACTTGCAAATTATCCTTATATGGTCATAACAAAAGAAAAAGGGTTCTCAAAGGAAAAAACAGAAATAAATGCAAAGGAGACGTTCTAGATATTATAGCTGAAACAAGGTAATAAGTTCTGCAGTGCTTTCACTCTGAGTCCAGTACCATATATCGAATGGATTTGGAAACAAATATTTTTTTCCAGAATCTATATCTTGAAAGGCTTACCGAACTTAATTTTTCTAAAATATAATGAAAATATCAACCTTTAACATATATAAGCTCTTTATTAATAAAAAAATTACATATTACACATACGAAGGAGATCATCAATGCAACAAGGCATAAGCAAAAGAGCGTAGCCCTCACATAAAGAAAAAGGAAAGAAGCTGTAATAAAAAGCCCATGTGTAATGACAAGTTATGTGAAATGGATAGAGTCTGGCAACTCAGGACATCTGATACTAGTGAGTCATATTTTTTTTATGAATTCTTGCATGGAAACATTATTATCTGTTGAGTTCCAAACTACTAGTTGTAATATGAATGACGGCCTTTTAAATATAGTGATGGTAGGCACAGAAGTGAAACATTTGGTTCTTTATATCTTTCAAAGGAAATGCAACCTGCTCTTGCACCCCTTCAACTTTGCAACTCCTGGCCAAAGTTACTAAAGCAGGTATTCCACCCGCTAAAGCAACTTCCAAGCTGCATTTATCATCCGCTGCCAAGTTTGCCAATGCACCTGCAGCACGTTCCTGAAATCAAGAAAAGAACCCACCATTACTACTTGAGCACCGTAAAGCAACTCAGTTCAGAAGGGTTCCATTACTGAGCATTGTAATCACACATAAAATTACCAACAAAAACTTAAATACTGTGACACATACCAAAACTCCTTCACCACCAGCAGTGCCAGACCACTTACAGATAAGATCAACTAAAGCTTTTACACCACCAGACTCAGCAATGGCACCCTGGCAGCAGAATTTGGTTTATCATTATTTCGAAGCAATAGCATAAATAAAATGAAAATAATATAATATAAACAGATGAGAAACAACCTTGTGTTCTTCACCAACAGAGACGTTCCAGAGTCCTCCAGCAGCCTCTTCAGCAACCAGCCTGTTCATAGATCTAGCCATATTTACCAAAACATTGATCCCTCCTTCCTCTGCCACAGCTTTTGCAACATTGGCATTCACTGATAAGTTTGCTATAGCCTGAACATTTAAGCAAATTTAACACAACTAATGATTATTATCTTTCAACTTCTACAGGCAAAAAAGCAAAAGAAATATGATAACAAGATTGTAAGATGAACTTGATCGTCTGATCTCCATCAGACCAAATAAAACAAAGAAAAACGCCCAAGAAAAATAAACTAAATCATAAGACTGAAAATTAAGGGTTTAGAACCATTTGATAAAACTCCTACCTTTGCAGCTTCTGACTGAGGCCCTTCCCGCCATGACCTCGCAAGGTTTAGAAGAAGACGTATGCCCCCAACTCGAATAACTGCTTCGGCCCTTCCAGGGTCAATACTGGCATTTTCATCATCAATTACAACAAAAGTAGCAAGAGCTGTAGCCGCTCTTTCTTGAACTTCCTCCTCTGCACTCTGCATGAAACTAAGTAACAGAGAAGTGCCTTGGTGGAGCCAAAAATTATCCAAACCTGGTGGGTTGCTCTCTGAAATACGTAGAAGTGCATAGCAGAGGGTCCATTCCAGCCACTTCATTACCTCATCTAACTTTCTATCCTTAACATTCATATTTCTCCAATCCAAGAAAACATTCCTTTCATTCTTTGTAGTATCGGCAAATAGCGAAGCTGCAACTTTAAAATTGTCTGTAGAGACAGCAAACAGAAATTTACCTTTATGATTGTTATTATAGACAAAGGAAGCATCTTCCTCGAGTGCTCGGCAATTTAAGGCACACAGGACCTTCAAACTCTTCCATGTTTTTACCAGTGTTAAAGCGGCATGAGGGGTAATATCTGTTCTAGAAACATCTAAGCCTGTCAAGTGAGGCAGCTTTTTCCAGTGCTGTAATATCAAACCCCACTTTATATTACGTGTACCTGCAACAGATAGGAAGCAAACTGATGTAACATTTCCCATAGCGGTCTCATCAACTTTTCGACAGTCAATGAATCCAATATCCATCAAGTTTGGACAATATTTTGCCAAAGCATTGATAGCATCTGCATCAATTTCATGTATACCCGTGAGCCTAAGTTTCTGCAGACGAAGACAGCAAATGGCAATTGCTTTTAGCGCATCACTGCTGATCCTTTCGCATAAATCTGGCCCAAGCTGAAGGCACTCTAGTGCCTCATGTCGAGCAGCAAGCACAGATAACGAAGCATCCGTAATTTTCCGGCAACCATCTACACTAATCTGACGCAAACCCCGAGCTTGAAGATTTATGATAGCACCAGCAGATTCAGGACCCCGGAACTGAAGTTTTTGAAGATTCTCGCATCGAGAGGCAAGTGAAGCAGCTGCAGCAGCATCACACTTATGGGGCCTTAAATCCAATTCCTGCCACAAGCATGGAGATTTACCCAGAAATCTCCATGTCCGGCAGGTTGACGACAGGCTCGCACGATCACGATAGTTCAGACATGAAAAAAGCTGAATTACTGTATCATCAGGCAATCTTTTCCAATCAACCACACCTTTCATGTCAGAACTCAACCTCTCGATCTCCTGGCCTTCCACTTCTGCAGTGCCCCTCCTTTCCACCCTCCGCCGCACCCTCCGACTCATACTTCAACCAGTTTATAACACAAAACTAATCCACGAGGGTTTAAAGCCAGAAGTGAGATAAAATGGCAACACTATTAACTCAAAGATAAAGCCAAACGAAGTAAAAAGCTGAAAAATTATCTCAGGAAAGAACTGCCTTCTATATTAATTTCCTGAAATATCAAAACCAAAAACACCAATCCCACGATAGAATCCACTTAAATGCTACACAATAAATTCATATATGAACGTCCTTTGACCTGAAACCACCAAAATTCAACAATTAGTGATCCTCAGCACAAAATCCAGCGGCAAGAACTTTTTACACCTCAAAAAGCAACTCTTTTCAAAATCATTGATGAACATTTGCGTACATAGAATTAAAAAAACGTCTCAGTCGCACAAAATCCCATTAAATCTTCAAAAATGGAATGCCCTTCCGACACACTGAATCAAGTCAAATATAGAGCAATCCCCAATCATAAATGCACGACAAGAAGTTTATGATAGACAACAAAGAAAAGTCAAGGTGCTTTTTCCACAAACCTGGGTGCTTCAGCCTCGTGGTCCTTTTTTTAAACCCTTACTACTGCGCATAAATCTGCTACCCTATAAGAAAATTTTCAATAAAAACAAGAATACACAATAAAATTTAGATGGACATATATCTCTGTGTGTGCTTGGAGAAGACAAAGGTGTTGAAGGGTCGCAGAGAATTCAGTCAAGTATCAAGGCGGTGGAGAAAGAGCCCCCCAGACCACTTGTCCACTCGGCTCTCTCAGCACGTGGTCGATCACACGCAATTATAAGACCCTTGATGGCGTGTTCCAAATTCCAAATGTGAGAAAATCTAACCTTTCTACAGAAAAAAGGATAAATTTTGGTGGATTTCTTAAGAGGGCTACGGGGAAAATGGGAGGTTACTATATTAAAAGCTCTGGCATTTGTGCATTACTAAGAATTAAGAATATACAGCTCATGAGTCGGAGAATATAATCAACTATTTTCATATTTTTGGAAGATTTGCATTTGTTAGGTATTGCACTAACTAGTTAGATTTTGGAAATTTTGAGTAGACGGAAAACTTGAGTGGAAGTAACATAATCAATAGTTCCTATAGGTACGATTAGAGAAGAGAACATATATTGATGCGATCTAGGTTAGAATGTTGAATTAACTTCTTCCAACCGCTTTTCCAAGATATTGTATCCATACGTACAAAATATTGATATATGTCTGTTTTTCAAAGTGAGATTGATAGAAAGAACAAAAATATGAGCGATAGTACATTTCGATCATGTCTATCAAGAATAACTGAATAATTGGTGCATTAGAAAGGTCAGACAACTTATGGAGTGAAGAATCAAGCTAACTGTTCTTACTTCTTGGATAACCAAGTGAACATTTACAATCGATGGGTAGGAAAATGTCAGAGTATCTATATGAAATGTATTTTTCAATATATGAAAACATGAGAAAAAGTTAGACAATGTATTTGGCTCGTGAAAGTACAATAAAAGAAAATACACTATTTGATATTGATCGTTAAGTTAGTGATAATGGCCATTATTGGAGTCATCATGTATGTGAATATCTTCATGGGTGGTATTGATACAAAGAAAGAAAACATGTGATAATATTTCTAGAAGCTATTTTCAATATATTATTGACAACATTTGAATAGTGTAATGTTGCATATATTATTAACCAATAAAATTGCATATATTTTTATAAATCCAAAACGGAACCTTCATCTAATAACTTGAACATAAATAACCATATCAACGAAAGGTGGTTGATCAATCCGAATCAATTCTTGAAATAAAGTGCTCAAGGCAAAGCACGTGAATTACATTTGCCTTCCACACTGAATAATGACACTATGAAGATAGAAAACGAAGAGAGAGTTAATATTCTTGAGTAACCCACCATCCTGAGCATAAATGATCAATTTCCACTACTATAACTACAAGTTAATTGTTTCAATGGTCACTGAATTTGGGTTCATATCTTTGATTGACCATTGAACTTCAAAATATCGAGTTTTGGGCATAACTTTAAAAAATGTTGAGTTTTGGTCACTGAACTTAATTCATGTCTTTAATTGGTCACTGAACTTTAAAATGTCGAGTTTTGACTACTGAACTTTGAAAAATGTAGAGTTTTGGCAACTGAACTTAGGTCCATGTCTTCGATTACTAAGGTCCTGTTTGGTACCCATTTTTTTCAAAATGCATTTTTCTCTCTCTTCTTTTCAACCACACATTCTTTATTAAAATAATATTACACGTAAATCAAAAACTTTTTCTTATTTTTCAACCACACATTCCCCATCAATTTACTATTCAAAAATGCATTTTCACATAAAAATGTTTACCAAACACCCTCTAATTGAAGTTTAAAATGTCGAGTTTTGACTACTGAACTTTGAAATATACCGTACGTTACTCATTAGCATAACTATTGAATTTTGAAAAATATCGAGTTTACAGTAAATAATGTATAACATTTTTCAAAATTCAATGAGTAACGTACAATATTTTTTAAAGTTCAGTGAGTTATGTACAATATTTTTCAAAGTTCAGTGGCAAAAACTCTATATTTTAAAGTCCAATAAGCAATTGAAGACATGGACCTAAGTTTAGTGATCAAAACTCGACATTTTAAAGTTCAGTGGCCAATCAAAGACATGGACCAAAATTCGGTGACCATTGGAACAATTAACTCTATAACCACATATGATGAGTTAACTTAGTTGTGGCAAGGCTTGTGATTTTGCAAATTACATCCCCTCAAAAATAGCAATGCACTGGACTACAAAAGGTCAAAGATTGTCTATAAGTGATTTCACGAATGAACCTACGGTTAAAGGTAGAAATATTGTCAATAATATTTTTCCTTTTAGTATAGGATTATTTTATTTATTAGTCGATTGTGTAATTAATGCACAATCTTTCCTTTTATGTTTATTTCCTTTTAGTGTTATCTATAACTCTATAAATACAGTATTCTATATTGTAATAAATAAGAGCTTATGTTATAATATCATTCTTATTTTTCTTAACATGATATCAGAATGGTTTCTATCCTAAACAAATCAACTTTTGAATTTCGCCATTTTTTTTTTTTTACTCTTGTCCAACTTTTTTCTAGAAAAGAATATTTTTTTCAAACCTCCAAACATTCCGGCAAATTGGAAGCAAGTTGGGGGAATTAAGAAGCTGCTGAAGAAATTTATGCATAAAAGTCAAAGAAGTGTTGATGGAAGAATTCTTTATAAACAAACAATTCAGGAACATGCGATTTGGGAATGACATGTGATTTATTATTGAATATTGGCTTGATGGTATGGAATTTCATGCATCTTCCCTAACTGGGTTCTGCTATATGTTCATTCGAGGAGAAGCTCGCTCAATAATCTTATAAAAAATTTGCAATACCGCATTCAACATGAAAGTATTCCTCTAAATGAAGAGAAGTAAATCATAATTCTTCTTCTATTTCGTGTTTTAATTTTTTAGAATTCTTTAAAAAAAATAATTGTTCTTTCCCTTTTTTCTTGGGAATTTAATTATGGTTTAGTTTGAGGGTCGGTACCTTGAACTGTACCGACTCTCCCTCTGCCTCTTGAAAAAATCAGAGGATCTCTTATGTTAAAAAAAAAGGCATTTGGAGGGTCTTACCTTGAATTTTACCGGCACTCTCCCTCCCTCTTAAACAAACTAGAGGTTTTTTATGTTGAAAAAAAAAAACTTTGAATGGTCGGTACCTTAAACTTTATCGGCTCCTCCACTGCCTCTTGAAAATTTCAGCGGTTTTCTTATTTAAAAAGAAAAAAAAAACTTCTGGAGGGTCGGTACCTTGAACTTTATCGTCTCTCCCACCGCCTCTTAAAAAAATTAAATCAGAAGTTTATTTGTATTTCTTTGGAAGGTCGGTACCTTCAACTTTACCTACTTTTTTCATATTTTTCTATTGTTTTAGCAATTTAAAATGTTTTTGCTAAACCTGAACATTTATTTTTCTCGTACACTTTCTTCCTTATTTTTCACCTTAAAAAACAAAAAAGTCCATCAAAATATTTTCTTCCAACAAATAAGAAGGCGCTTATCTTTATTAACAACGACAAAGACATCAAGTGCTTGGAGTTCATTCTACATCAATTTGAAAGATTTGATTGGATCGATTTCTTCAAACTCAATATTCTACACCATATTAAGTTTGAGGGCTAGGTGTTAAAGATAGAAGTATTGTCAATAATATTTTTCCTTTTAATGTAGGATTATTTTATTTATTAGTTGATTGTGTAATTAATGCACAATCTTTCCTTTTATGTTTATTTCCTCTTAATATTATTTGTAACCCTATAAAATATGGTCTTAATAAATTAGAGTTTACATTCATTCTTATTTTTCTTAACACCTACCGCATGCACCTATCATTTATGCACTCTTCTGATACAAAAAATTCATTTTCCTAAATGCATCCACATTAAGCTTCAAGTGTGTCTTTTGAGACAAAATCAGTTTCCTACAAAACCATGTTGTGTGTACTTGCTACATAGAAAACTATTAGAAAATTGAATTCTGCCCAGTATGCTAAACTAGCCTATATGTTGAAACCCGAATACCATAAACAGCATACTACAAGTACAAGATATTTGGTGGACTCGAGTTCAAGATAGTAATTAGAGTTGTCGGTGCTGAATTTTGCTCAAACTTTTCCATTTTCGTATAAGCTTAAGTAGGAGAGATTTTTGGAAAGAAAAAATGATATTTTTGGAAATGTATGATTGAACGGTAGTGAAAAGTTATTGATATCATAAAATAAGTGAAAAGTTATTGATATCATAAAATAAGCTATTGGAAATAATTATGGGGGAAAATGATTTTAAAAATATCCATGCAAAGCGTATCTTTGTATGCTTTGTAGATATTACCCTTCAACTTCTGTATATTTACATATCTACCGTTGTATTATTAGCATTATACTTGGCGTTAATTGTTAATATCATTATCAAATTGCAAACAATTTTCTTCCAAGCATATATTTTTTCTTCCTTCATGAAAACTTGAGTTGGTATCGGAGCCATTATAAACTAATGTCCCATCATCTTATTTCACTGTGATTGGAGATGGTGTGGTTGAAGGTTGTTAATTCAGGTGGAATTGAAGGATCCTCTAGAGTCGCTATTCATGGAGATTCGTCTTCAATGATTGTTCTTTTTGTTGGAATACGATTCTTTAATTCAAGGATTGAAGATCGTTACTGGATGTTTATGTATATGTTAAAATTTGGAAATAAAAATTTACTTGGGAGTTTTGGGGTACCCGTTATTCGATTTTTTAAACCAATGGTTTTGAATGTTTATGACGGGTTAGATTTTGAGTGATTTTGAGTAGTTTGTTTAATAAAGTCCAACATATGCTTAAGAGCTTATTATTTAGTGGTTTTGAAAAAATTTTAAAAGCATAAAATTAAATATATGTTCCTTAAATGAAATTTTCAATTTATAATTTCTTGTATGAATTTTTTTTTTAATTCTAAGTGATATTTTTTCTCATAATTAAAAATTTAGTTTTAAATAAAAAAGAAAGTTAATTTATCTTTATATGTTTATTAAGCGTTCGCTTGTATAGCTAAAAATCATATTTTTACTAAATTTTGATAGAAGTTGATAAAGCATATGATTGAAAAGTCACGATTCCATGGAATATGTAATTAAAATTAATTATTGACGTTGACATTAATATGAATCCCCATGAAATAGGGGCTAAATATTATTACTCTAATGGGATGATATCATGTGACGGGCTGGATAAACTTATACATTCATTATAATACTAGTTTTCCACCCGTGCAATGCACGGGTTATGTCATTTTTTAGGTAATATTAATGTGTCAAAATATTTATTCATTTCTCTCAATAAATCTACAAATTTGATTAATTGTTGAAAATGTTAAATGGAAATGTAATCTTCATATATGACACACTCTGCATCATCATATATTATTATTACATTATAGATTGTTGCTTATTAGAGAATAGAAAAGAAAACAAA